TTTAGCCTGTCCACCTATCTATCCATCCATATACCCATGTTTCCCTTCACTGAGAACTCAGTACTGTATATGCAAAAGGGTTCATATTTGTTGTCTGTACTTCCCATGTACCTCTCTATGTCTTTCTCATCCTCAATGCTGCCATATTCCCAACCATATCTCTTGACATTCAAATATAGAAAGCCTGTGTTGGAGCAGGAGAGAACAGATGGGCAGCTCTGGGGAAGGGAAAAGCTGCTGGCAGATTAGCTTTGGTCAGGAGCTTCTTTGCAATAAATATTTGGCTTTGTAGCTAAGAAAAACCCCAAATCAAAGACAGATATGTTATCAATTTTTCTCTTTGAAAACACGAACTCGCTTCCCCCTAAGCTTCCTACTTGACCCTTCCCAGCTGCTGTTGTCAATCTGATTCCACATACCCACCGCCATCCAGTCTGATCCCGACCCTACAGGACTGCGTAGAACTGCCATAGGGTTTCCAAGGCTGGACATCTTCACAGAAGCAGACTGCCACATCGTTCTCCTGCAGAGCAGCTGGTGGGTTTGAACCACCAGCCTCTCAGTTAGCAGACAGGCACAGCACCTCTGCACCACCGGGCTCCTTTCTGTTAGCACCACTCACCTGGAGTATCATAGTGGTGGCCTCCCTGGTCTCCTGGCCTCCATCCCCTCACCCACCCTACTCAGCCTGCTAAGGGAGCCTGTGGAGACCTGGGTCAGATCACGTCCATCCCCTCCTGCACATCTCCCATGGCTCCCACCGCCTGCATCTCAGGCCTGCTGCCTGTTCTCCTTTCGTACCAGATGAGATAGACACCTGAGTTTCTTGAGCCCTCCCATCCCACTCTCCCCTCCAGGTATTTGCACATGCTGGCTCCTGTGCCTACAACAGCCTTCTACACCTTATCCCACTGGGTGGCAGAAATGGGAACAGCCCCATTATAACTCTGGCCTGGATTCAGGGCCTTGGCTTGGGGTTCCTCCAGGGTCCGCGGACCCAAGGGCTGGGTGGGTAGCAGGAAAGTGTTCCAGAACACCACAGCCCTGGAAAACGACTGGGGACCCAGAGTCACGATGTC